AGACTGCCCTCTTATTCTTAACCAAACTATCCTTTAATGTTCCGAGACATGTGGCTTGTGGTTTTGGCGGAAAATGGGAAAAACTAGAACTTTGCAACTTTGACCTCGAATAAAAAAAATCGCAGATGTCGGATCGATGGGGACTTTTGACATTTTATTTGTCATTGCCTATTCAACATCTGCACCAAATTTCAGCTCTATGCGAATTATTCCTAACTGAAATCTTAATTTGACTGGGTTATGGGTATGTTTTTTTATCTTACCGAGGTTCCTGGTTTCGTCCAAATCGTTTCGTTTCTAAGAATGCTGGTAGATACTTGGAATTCGTAAAAACTTGACATTGGGTGGAAAAATAGCACCCTGTCACCTTCTTTGTTGATGGGTGCCAAAGAGATTCCAAAGACACCATCTGTCCATTGAAATTTAAGGTTGTGCAGTTCGTAATCGCAGGCGAATGGATCGGGGTAAAATAAATGACTGGTGACCCTCCACATTTTTTGTTTTTGTAAACTGTAGACCAGGATGCCGAAACGCCAGACGTCTGTTATATAAGCATGGGCATCTTCACATTGATCATGCCTTATGTCAACTTGGATGTTGGTGAAGAGGGAATCTTGTTTAACGAACCTTGGAAGAAAAATAGAAAATTAAAACTTTTTTTTCTCTCGGTAGATCAAATAGTCCCTAGCCCAGTACTAAGAATATTTTCTTCAACCGGAAGAGAATAAATAGAATTATAAACAGTGTATAATGCCTTCGGTCGTTATATTTATTTATTTTTGAATAAATTAACTTTGCAAAAAAAGAGAAAAATAAATAAATAAATGAATAATGAATGATTGCGTGCCGCCGCATTTACTTTGTGAAAAGGTCAATGGTCTTTGTTGATAAGGAGTATAGGGGAGACCGAGAGATGTCGACACTATTATATATATATATATATATATATATATATATATATATATATATATATTAGGGTGGTCCTTAATATGGACATTTTCGAATTTCCTTGCTCCCAAGGGCTCAAATGGTTCCAAATTGATAAAAAACAATTCTCTGAAAGTTTTAGCCCTTATATTGTCTTTTAGATTAGAATTTTTACATTTGATACTTTGACAATTTATCTTTGACATTTGTAAGTTAGCATTTGGAATTTTATCTATAAATCTAATTACACTTGCAACATTTACAATTTCAACATTCAGAAATTTCAACAAAAAAATGTCAAATTTGGAACTTTTATATGATTTTTATATTTTAACACTTGGAACTTCGGAATTTGGAATTAAAAAGACATTTCCACATCAAAACTTGTTTTTTGTGTAATATTGATATTTAATCAGAATGTTCGATATTTGGAACTTTGTCATTTGAATTTTCGACATTTGAAATCGTGACATTTGAAATTATGACGTTGAATTATGACATTGCAAATTTTTATCTTTTAAATTTTGTAATTTTAACATTTGTAATTTTGACTATTTAAAAATTTGATATTGGTAATTCTCGTGCCACGATACCAAATGTCAAGATTTCAAGTATCAGGATTCCAAATGTCACGATTCGAAAAGTCACGATTGCAAATGTCACGATTCGAACAGTCACGATTGCAAATATCACAATTGGAAATGTCACGATTTCAAATGTTACTATTTCAAATGTCACGGTTCCAAATGTCACGGTTCCAAATGACACGGTTCCAAATGACACGGTTCCAAATGACACGGTTCCAAATGACACTATTCTAAATGTCACGAATGCAAATGTCACGAATGTAAATGTCATGAATGCAAATGTCAAGAATGGAAATGTCACGTATCCAAATGTCACGTATTCAAATGTCAAGATAGTAAATGTCACGGTTCTGAAATTCACAATTCCAAAAGTCACTAATGGAAATGTCACAAATGGAAATGTCACGAATGCAAATATCACGAATGCTAGTGCCACGAATGGAAATGTCACGAATGCAAATGTCACGGTTCCAAAAGTCACGATGTCAAGTGTTACGATTCCTAATGTCACGTTACCGAATGTAACGTTTCCAAATGTTACGATACCAAATGTAACGTTTCCACATGTCACGATACTAAATGTCACTATATAAATGTCACGTTTCCGAATGTCACGAATGTAAAAGTAGTGATTTCAAACATCACGATTGCAATTGTTACGATTCCAAATAACGTGATTCCGAATGTCACGAATGCAAATGTCACGATTCCAAGTGTCACATTTCCAAGTGTCACGATTCCAAATGTCACGATTCCAAATGTCACGAACGCATATGTCACGATTACAATTGCCACGATTCCAAATGTCTTGTTTCCAAATGTCACGAATCCAAGTTTATCGAATCTAAATGTCACGATATCAAATATGGCTATTCCAAGTGTTGCGATTCCAAATGTCACGGTTCCAAATAAGTGTCACGAATGCAAATGTCACGATACTTAATGTCATGATACCAAATGCCACTAATGTAAATGTCATAATTGTAAAATCCACGATTGCAAATGTCACGGTTCCAAATGTTCCGATTCCAATTGTTTCGATTCCAAATGCAAATGTCACTATACAAATGTCACGATTGCAAATGTCACGAATGGAAGTGTCACGAATGTAAATGTAGTCATCACGATTGTAAATGCCGTGATTCCAAATGTCACGAAAGCAAATGTCAAGAACGCAAATGTCACGAATGCAAATTTAACGGTTCCAAATGTCACGGTTCCAAATGCCACGATTCCAAATGTCACTATGCAAATTACACCATACAAATGACTACTATACAAATGTTACGTTTTCACATGTCACGATTTGAAGAGTCATGATTGCAAATGTCAGGTTCCCAAATGTCACGTTTAAAAAAGTCACAATACCAAATGTCACGATACCAAATTTTATTGGTTTTCTAGTATTATTTTTATTATTTAAAATTTTTATTTATTTTATTTATCAAATTTATTATTATTATTATTATCCGCTTTTATTTTATATTAAATCATCATACTATGGATATCATTTTAATGTAAATACTACCCTTTATTTTTTACTCTTTTTTATTTAAATTTATGTTATTGTTCATTATTATTACTAGATTTTAAATTATTTAACAGTTATAACAAATCTTGTAATTTAAAAAAAACTATACCAAATGTCACAATTGCAAATGTCACGGTTTCAAATGTCACGATTCCAAATGTCACGATTATTATTTTACATTAGAGCAAAATATTATTATTAACATTAACATTTCATTAAAATCTGGGATGCAAAAGTTCTAAACGATAAAATTTCTAATGCCAAAATTATAACTGTTAAAAATGTAAATTTGTTTTCCTATGTCTACCATCTTACGTTTTCGGTATCTCGAACGACAGCACCATCTGATCCGTCACCAAGTTGATAACCACTATTTTCGGCGGACATAACTGCCTCGGAGTGGTGGTGATGTCCTCCAAACCCGAATCCAGCAGCCACAATCTGCCGCACTCGTCCACCTTCATCCTGAACACCGATATGATCTTCTGACAATCGCTGTTCGAGTGCCAATCCCACGATGGATAGGGCATCAGGGCCGGAGATTTGTTGATTGTAAGGGCCGGCAACCAGGCCAAAGAGGCCGGTACGCCCTTTTTCCAACGGGGGAGGGTTATGAAGACACGGTGCTTCCAGGTGTCGACGCCTAGGGGTAGGTTGTTCTCGGGGATGAAGTCTCTGGGAAAAGGAGTAATAGATTAGTGAAATTGTTATGGCAAGGCCATGACACGCTACAACTTAGACTTTGTAAGAATAATAGACTATTGAAGTTATAATTGCAAAATGTTATGGCAAGGCCATGACACGCCACAACTTAGACTTTGTAAGAATAATAGACTATTAAAATTGTAATTGAAAAATGTTATGGCAAGGCCATGACACGCTACAACTTAGACTTTGTAAGAATAATAGACTATTAAAATTGTAATTGAAAAATGTTATGGCAAGGCCATGACACGCTACAACTTAGACTTTGTAAGAATAATAGACTATTGAAGTTATAATTGCAAAATGTTATGGCAAGGCCATGACACGCTACAACTTAGACTTTGTAAGAATAATAGACTATTAAAATTGTAATTGAAAAATGTTATGGCAAGGCCATGACACGCTACAACTTAGACTTTGTAAGAATAATAGACTATTGAAGTTATAATTGCAAAATGTTATGGCAAGGCCATGACACGCTACAACTTAGACTTTGTAAGAATAATAGACTATTGAAGTTATAATTGCAAAATGTTATGGCAAGGCCATGACACGCTACAACTTAGACTTTGTAAGAATAATAGACTATTAAAATTGTAATTGAAAAATGTTATGGCAAGGCCATGACACGCTACAACTTAGACTTTGTAAGAATAATAGACTATTGAAGTTATAATTGCAAAATGTTATGGCAAGGCCATGACACGCTACAACTTAGACTTTGTAAGAATAATAGACTATTGAAGTTATAATTGCAAAATGTTATGGCAAGGCCATGACACGCTACAACTTAGACTTTGTAAGAATAATAGACTATTAAAATTGTAATTGAAAAATGTTATGGCAAGGCCATGACACGCTACAACTTAGACTTTGTAAGAATAATAGACTATTGAAGTTATAATTGCAAAATGTTATGGCAAGGCCATGACACGCTACAACTTAGACTTTGTAAGAATAATAGACTATTAAAATTGTAATTGAAAAATGTTATGGCAAGGCCATGACACGCCACAAACTTAGACTTTGTAAGAATAATAGACTATTAAAATTGTAATTGAAAAATGTTATGGCAAGGCCATGACACGCTACAACTTAGACTTTGTAAGAATAATAGACTATTGAAGTTATAATTGCAAAATGTTATGGCAAGGCCATGACACGCTACAACTTAGACTTTGTAAGAATAATAGACTATTAAAATTGTAATTGAAAAATGTTATGGCAAGGCCATGACACGCTACAACTTAGACTTTGTAAGAATAATAGACTATTGAAGTTATAATTGCAAAATGTTATGGCAAGGCCATGACACGCTACAACTTAGACTTTGTAAGAATAATAGACTATTAAAATTGTAATTGAAAATGTTATGGCAAGGCCATGACACGCTACAACTTAGACTTTGTAAGAATAATAGACTATTGAAGTTATAATTGCAAAATGTTATGGCAAGGCCATGACACGCTACAACTTAGACTTTGTAAGAATAATAGACTATTGAAGTTATAATTGAAAAATGTTATGGCAAGGCCATGACACGCTACAACTTAGACTTTGTAAGAATAATAGACTATTGAAGTTATAATTGCAAAATGTTATGGCAAGGCCATGACACGCTACAACTTAGACTTTGTAAGAATAATAGACTATTAAAATTGTAATTGAAAAATGTTATGGCAAGGCCATGACACGCTACAACTTAGACTTTGTAAGAATAATAGACTATTGAAGTTATAATTGCAAAATGTTATGGCAAGGCCATGACACGCTACAACTTAGACTTTGTAAGAATAATAGACTATTGAAGTTATAATTGCAAAATGTTATGGCAAGGCCATGACACGCTACAACTTAGACTTTGTAAGAATAATAGACTATTGAAGTTATAATTGCAAAATGTTATGGCAAGGCCATGACACGCTACAACTTAGACTTTGTAAGAATAATAGACTATTGAAGTTATAATTGCAAAATGTTATGGCAAGGCCATGACACGCTACAACTTAGACTTTGTAAGAATAATAGACTATTAAAATTATAATTGAAAAATGTTATGGCAAGGCCATGTTACGCTACAACTTAGACTTTGTAAGAATAATAGACTATTGAAATTATAATTGAAAAATGTTATGGCAAGGCCATGACACGCTACAACTTAGACTTTGTAAGAATAATAGACTATTGAAGTTATAATTGCAAAATGTTATGGCAAGGCCATGACACGCTACAACTTAGACTTTGTAAGAATAATAGACTATTGAAGTTATAATTGCAAAATGTTATGGCAAGGCCATGACACGCTACAACTTAGACTTTGTAAGAATAATAGACTATTAAAATTGTAATTGAAAAATGTTATGGCAAGGCCATGACACGCTACAACTTAGACTTTGTAAGAATAATAGACTATTGAAGTTATAATTGCAAAATGTTATGGCAAGGCCATGACACGCTACAACTTAGACTTTGTAAGAATAATAGACTATTAAAATTGTAATTGAAAAATGTTATGGCAAGGCCATGACACGCCACAACTTAGACTTTGTAAGAATAATAGACTATTAAAATTGTAATTGAAAAATGTTATGGCAAGGCCATGACACGCTACAACTTAGACTTTGTAAGAATAATAGACTATTAAAATTGTAATTGAAAAATGTTATGGCAAGGCCATGACACGCTACAACTTAGACTTTGTAAGAATAATAGACTATTAAAATTGTAATTGAAAAATGTTATGGCAAGGCCATGACACGCTACAACTTAGACTTTGTAAGAATAATAGACTATTAAAATTGTAATTGAAAAATGTTATGGCAAGGCCATGACACGCTACAACTTAGACTTTGTAAGAATAATAGACTATTAAAATTGTAATTGAAAAATGTTATGGCAAGGCCATGACACGCTACAACTTAGACTTTGTAAGAATAATAGACTATTAAAATTGTAATTGAAAAATGTTATGGCAAGGCCATGACACGCTACAACTTAGACTTTGTAAGAATAATAGACTATTAAAATTGTAATTGAAAAATGTTATGGCAAGGCCATGACACGCTACAACTTAGACTTTGTAAGAATAATAGACTATTAAAATTGTAATTGAAAAATGTTATGGCAAGGCCATGACACGCTACAACTTAGACTTTGTAAGAATAATAGACTATTGAAGTTATAATTGCAAAATGTTATGGCAAGGCTATGATACGCTACAACTTAGACTTTGTAAGAATAATAGACTATTGAAATTATAATTGAAAAATGATATGGCAAGGCAATGATACGCTACAACTTAGACTTTGTAAGAATAATAGACTATTAAAATTGTAATTGAAAAATGTTATGGCAAGGCCATGACACGCTACAACTTAGACTTTGTAAGAATAATAGACTGTTAAAATTGTAATTGAAAAATGTTATGGCAAGGCCATGACACGCTACAACTTAGACTTTGTAAGAATAATAGACTATTAAAATTGTAATTGAAAAATGTTATGGCAAGGCCATGACACGCTACAACTTAGACTTTGTAAGAATAATAGACTATTAAAATTGTAATTGAAAAATGTTATGGCAAGGCCATGACACGCTACAACTTAGACTTTGTAAGAATAATAGACTATTAAAATTGTAATTGAAAAATGTTATGGCAAGGCCATGACACGCTACAACTTAGACTTTGTAAGAATAATAGACTATTAAAATTGTAATTGAAAAATGTTATGGCAAGGCCATGACACGCTACAACTTAGACTTTGTAAGAATAATAGACTATTAAAATTGTAATTGAAAAATGTTATGGCAAGGCCATGACACGCTACAACTTAGACTTTGTAAGAATAATAGACTATTAAAATTGTAATTGAAAAATGTTATGGCAAGGCCATGACACGCTACAACTTAGACTTTGTAAGAATAATAGACTATTAAAATTGTAATTGAAAAATGTTATGGCAAGGCCATGACACGCTACAACTTAGACTTTGTAAGAATAATAGACTATTAAAATTGTAATTGAAAAATGTTATGGCAAGGCCATGACACGCTACAACTTAGACTTTGTAAGAATAATAGACTATTAAAATTGTAATTGAAAAATGTTATGGCAAGGCCATGACACGCTACAACTTAGACTTTGTAAGAATAATAGACTATTAAAATTGTAATTGAAAAATGTTATGGCAAGGCCATGACACGCTACAACTTAGACTTTGTAAGAATAATAGACTATTAAAATTGTAATTGAAAAATGTTATGGCAAGGCCATGACACGCTACAACTTAGACTTTGTAAGAATAATAGACTATTAAAATTGTAATTGAAAAATGTTATGGCAAGGCCATGACACGCTACAACTTAGACTTTGTAAGAATAATAGACTATTGAAGTTATAATTGCAAAATGTTATGGCAAGGCTATGATACGCTACAACTTAGACTTTGTAAGAATAATAGACTATTAAAATTGTAATTGAAAAATGTTATGGCAAGGCCATGACACGCTACAACTTAGACTTTGTAAGAATAATAGACTATTAAAATTGTAATTGAAAAATGTTATGGCAAGGCCATGACACGCTACAACTTAGACTTTGTAAGAATAATAGACTATTAAAATTGTAATTGAAAAATGTTATGGCAAGGCCATGACACGCTACAACTTAGACTTTGTAAGAATAATAGACTATTAAAATTGTAATTGAAAAATGTTATGGCAAGGCCATGACACGCTACAACTTAGACTTTGTAAGAATAATAGACTATTAAAATTGTAATTGAAAAATGTTATGGCAAGGCCATGACACGCTACAACTTAGACTTTGTAAGAATAATAGACTATTAAAATTGTAATTGAAAAATGTTATGGCAAGGCCATGACACGCTACAACTTAGACTTTGTAAGAATAATAGACTATTAAAATTGTAATTGAAAAATGTTATGGCAAGGCCATGACACGCTACAACTTAGACTTTGTAAGAATAATAGACTATTAAAATTGTAATTGAAAAATGTTATGGCAAGGCCATGACACGCTACAACTTAGACTTTGTAAGAATAATAGACTATTGAAGTTATAATTGCAAAATGTTATGGCAAGGCCATGTTACGCTGCAACTTGGTGCGACTGAATCATACTGAATACTGTCCAAATGTCGATGTATTTGCTGAGCATTCAAGCGTTTTACACATAACTGTATATTATGAAGCTGAGTCAGAAACACCCTGTTATCTAACATCATTCTTCAACTTCCCGTAGGGTAGTTATAGTAATGGGCCGAAAATCGAAAATGAAAATTTTTGCATTTCTCAACGTGTTGAAGGTTTCTGAACATTTTTAAGGGGCATACCTCAGAAAACCAATGTGTTCGCGCCAATCAAAGCATGCGGTTAGATTGAGGTAGAAAACAAAAAATCATCAATCGATAATTATAAAACCAAAATCAATTCAATCAATACGTAATCAAAAACATATTAAATTTATTGCAAATACTATTATAACTTATAAAATAAATATATAAAGTTATCAATAAAGTGTTTTACAACCGGTGCTTCGAAAAGTAAAGTAAAATTCAATCAAAACAACATCCTAAAAAACACAATGGATGTGTGTGTGTTTTGTATGTCCGCATGTTTCGTCCACGTTTTCGGGCGCACGGATCAACCGATTTGAATGATTCATTTACCATTCGATTCCTATTGATAGGGAGATGTGCTGATTAGTGTTTGGCAAAGGCAGGTCCAGCCGTTAAGGAGATGCGGAGCAAAGAGAGCAGAAAATACAAATCGAGTTTTTGAGACTTTTACGGAGTATCGGATTTGAATGATCTAAAAAACATTCAATTTGTAATGATTGAGGGAAGAGGTGATTTTGGCAAAGACAGGTCCCGCCATTTCGAAGATACAGAGCTAATTGTGCAAAAAATTGCAGTTTTCGAGTGAACTAAGCGTCCGATTTGAAAGATCTAAAAAACTTTCTGCTTGTATTGACAAAACAATCAAGGCTTTTGAGGATAAAAAATTATTACATCTTTTTTTATTTTCCATAAAATATTTTTGTAACTTTGGATTAAAAATTCAAATCAAAAAATTACCCAGGCTAAGCACAGCCTAAGCGCCACTTTGGTACAAATGTTTACCCAAGTGCGTTCAGACTGTTTATGTACTGGAGAGCACTTTTACAATTTTGTGAGAAAACTATTGAAAAATGTGAAAATGCCGACAAGCTAAGCACAGTATAAGTGAAAATGTAGCACAGAATTATTTGCAAATGCGTTTAGACTGTGACTATACGGGAGCAATTTTACAATGTTTGTGTAAATTAGGCAACTATTTTTTTTTTGAAATTGAAATCGAAATGAAATGACGATTGATAATGTTCTGAAGATAAATTGATTTATTTATAATTTACATTTGAATTTTGAAGTAGAACTTCTTAGGTTGGCGATGTATAATTTAGTAAAATAGAATTTTATTTTTGAAGTAAAACTTCTTAAGTTGCGATGTGATATAGAGTCTGTTTTGATTAAACGTAAAAGAGACAACAGTATATAGTGAGAAAATGAGAGAGATATATATAAAACACTAGTGCGAAAAAGAGCAACATATACCTGACAGTGTAGAGTGACAGAGTAAGATACATGAGTATGATGTAACCTCCAAAATTTAGCAACTACCTTTTTAAATGTAAATTTTTGATAAAAGGACAAGAAATACCAATTTTTGTTGTTAATAGAAATTGTAGATAATTTAATTGGCTATAAATTTGCTGAATATTGCAAAATGGTGGGACATTTCGTTTTGAAGTTATAAATAATTAAACAAAAATTGAGCTGGTCCAAAAGTGTGAAGCAAGATATACCGATGCAACCTCCAAAATTTAACAACAACCTGTTTCACTGCAAATTTTGGGTAAAAGGATATAAGATACAACATTTTGTTATTAACAAAAGTTGTAGATAATTTAATTGGCTAAAAATTTGCTGGATATTGCAAAACAATCGGACAATTTGTTTAGAAGTTATCTTATATATAAAAATGGATCGCAAAATGTGTTGGTAAGCGCATAACTCAACAACGCCTGGACCAATTTGGCCAATTCTTCTTTTAAAATGTTCGTTGAAGTCCAAGGATGGTTGTTACGGCGAGAAAAAAACGAATAATTGCCTGGACAACCCTAAAAACAGCCCTTTTCTTCTTTAATCGAGTAGGCAACGCAATTTGTAAAAAAAACAATGATCTATGTCATGACATTTTGTGTAGTTTTTGATAATCTAATTTTGAATATATTTATATAAACATAGAAATATCTTTCTATTAATCAAGCTATATATATTGACAGCCAAAAACATTGATGTAAATTAATTAAATTTCAAAATTCAAGAACAAATTACAGGCGAATCAGCTGATTCGGCAACTAACCAAGACGATCCACCGGAGTTTTTAAACTCGCTGGATTTGCTAGGATTGTCACCTCACAATCTTCAATTAAAGGTTGGATCGGCAATTATAATGTTGCGAAATATCGACCAACTATATTCAAAGTTTCCAGTGCGTTTATCATTAAGTGTTTGTGGTATTAATTTAGAAAACCCATGTTTCTCACATAGAAAATTGTATGTTGTTTGTTCCCGTATTGGAAAACCATCAGATTTGTTTGTCTATGCGCCAGGTAATCAAACAAAAAACATCGTTTATCACAAAGCACTACAATGAAAATTGAACTGATTTTTGAATTATGATTTACATTATTAAAATTACTTACTTTTAAATGCTTATAGTGTTTTATTTAATTATTTTTAATTCACACCGACTTATTACCAGGGTGACGGTTCTGTTCAGGATAATTTTTTGCAAAGAATAGAAAAAAAATAGGCACAAAACACCGCCACATTACAATTTTTTTTGACAGGACGAAGTCTGTCGGGCCGGCTAGTTGGCTATAAATTTGCTGAATATTGCAAAACAATCGGACAATTGGTTTAGAAGTTATAAACAAATAAAAATCGAACCGGTCCAAAAATGAAAAACGAGATATATTAAAATGTAGCCTCCTCGATTTAACAACAATCATTTTAGTTCTTATAAATGCCGCCAAGCTAAGCACAGTATAAGTGAAAATGTCGCAGAGAATTATTTGAAAATGCGTTTAGACTGTGACAATACGGGAGCATTTTTTAAATTTTGTGCAAATTATAGGCAACTATTTTTTTTTAAATTGAATTCGAAATGAAATGACGGTTGTTAATGTTTCATTTGATTTGCTCAGATATAACAAGATGGCAAAAATAATAAAGGTTACAGTATTTGTGATAATATATTTGAAAACGTTTAAAATTTCTCGAATATTTTGATACGGTACGGGAAGTTCCAGCAATTTGCCTTAAGCCACAATGCCATACACCACTAGTTTATGTCTTCTATCTAACAACCTGAGAAATACGTGTGACTGCACAGCAACCACGCGGCTTTTGTTAATATTTAGTATGAAAATAATAGCCTTGCCATAACATTGGTCTGTTATGCGGCCGAATCGGTCAATTTTTTTTTCTTACTTGTTTTTGATGGCGGCTTGTCTCATTTCTGGATTCGGGTACTCGAAGTCTACCTTCTTCCATTGGTAGATGACCCTAAAGGGCGGGTGTTCTTCTTCGGCAAAAGGGTTGTAGTCTTCCAATGTCGGAGGGATGTCTATGATGTCTACTGGGTAGTAGGTCAGCTTTGGATAGGCGATGTTTGCTAAAAAATATAATATATATATGAGCCGTTCAGTGCACACATCGACTAACTCCGAAAGTCAGAAAGTGGAGAAAAGCGATAAAGTAATGTATATTGCTTTTAAAAATTCCTGTTGTAATATAAATTGAAAAATATATTTTAGTACGTATAAATACATATATAGCTTACATGTAACGGTATATATAAGATTTATAACTATTAATAGTGAGAAAATAATTATCATTAAAGTTAAAGTTTTGATATGACTTGTGGAGTTAAACAAATTTTCAACTTTTTTTAAACTTTAAACTTTTTTTTAAAATTCGGATCTTCATTGCAGTCACACTTAAATTGTATATCGTTGGGTTTGGACCTTTCTATTCTAAATTCAGCGCATTTTAGGCCAAGTTTCTAGACACCCTGTGATGGTTACTTTTCTGTTATTGATTTCTTGTTCTAAATAAATAAAAAATAGATAAAAAATCTTAGTGGAACATTCGGCTTAGCTACAATGGCGCAATTTGTTATCAATGATAACAAAATCTTGAGTTAATAGATTAATAATTATTTTCACCGACCAGAAATTTATTTTTAATTAAGTTAGCTCTTATTTCCGTACTTTGAACAAGTTTCAATAAACTTTAGGCAGTTTTAATATTCTTGTTTTGCCGGGTACACGAATTTTAGTAAGTTATTTTTTTCAAAGTATGTAACGTCCTCGATGTCTTTTATAAAACTAGATGAATTTTTTTCGAGACCCACAACACCCTACAGTTCTGTGTTCTTATTCGTAATTCATGAATTTGAAACCCGAAATCCAACCCAACCAGAACATATACACTACAGAATGGAGTTAATCAAAATGTCTTCTGAAATAAATGGATTCAGTGGTCAAAAAAAAAATTTCAAATGCTTCCAAAGTAATAAAAGTAAATTCTCTGAAAGTTTTAGCTCTTAATATTAATATAATATTAATATAATATAATAAATAAATATTAACGTTTAGATAGTCCGTAATTCATCTGTGATAGTATTCGTGAACTCGAATATTATGACATTTAAAAATATTTATAAATCGCTTAACCTCTAATTGAATCCATGTGATTTATTTAACGATATATTTATTCGAGATTAATTTTGCATCAAAATATTTATTAACGATGTGCTGATTAGTTTTTGGCAAAGGCAGGTTCTGCCGTTTCGGTGATACAGGGCAAAATTGGCAATTTAGTTTTTGAGAGAACGGAGCATCCGATTTGAATGATTCAAAAAACATTTTATTTGTATTGACTTAGTGAAAAATTGCTCACATTGATCAATCATATATAAATCACACTAATATTGATTAAACTTATTTTTTTACACAAATTCAAGCAAATTGCGCTAAAGTATATTTTCATGTTATATTATCATTGGATATCTTTCACAATCATGTCAATTAAAATTGGTTTCCAAATTACAAATAATTATTGTTGAGGATTTGAATCGCAAAAGAATTGTGCAAAAATATTAATAGTTTTAATATTCGATTTTGTGCAAAATCTGTCCTTTCACCAAGTCGATTGCGAATTACGAATAAAATTATTTTGTTGATGAAAGAAAACGTGTTTGGGAAACTAGAATCGACAGAAAATAAGTTATAAATAAATATTACATATATACTAGGTGTAAGTGGCATTTTACCTAAATATATTAATATCAATTCTTATTTATTAGGTTGATTATTAATTAATACGTATCGGGCAGTTCTTGCAACTCGTCTTAAGTCAAAATCCCACTTACAACTAGTTATTGCAAGTATTATTTTTATTATCGCCAAGGATAATTGATTTGTTTATTAATGATTGAAATATTTCGCAACCCGACAGTGTCTATAAATTCCGCTTTCTAATCTTTATCGATATAAAAGAGATTTATATCGATAATAATACATCCTTGGTCGAATGTACTATTTTATGTGGGTTGCGCAGCACTTGCTCATGTTTCGCAAAAATAAAACAACATTTTGCATAAATATTCAATGCATGGACGATTAAATATTTTGCATAATATCGAATCAGATTAATTCTCAATGAATGATTTTTATCTCTTAATTTTATCGTATTTTATTATTAAACCAATGTTGCAAGAGAATGGAAATTGTGCAAAAGTATATATACATATATATTAGGGTGATAATTTTCGAATTTTTTTGCTCCCAAGGGCTCAAATACTTCTAAATTAATAATAAAAAATCCTGTAAAAGTTTTAGCTCCTAATATTAACATTTAGATAGTCCGCAATTCAATTAAAACATATATCATTAAATAAATACTTGCGCCATCTGTGATAGCAGACGTATAATTTTGCTGGCAATTTATTACTGATAGTTTGAGTGTCAACTTTACCAATTACACTGCAACATTCGCTTGAAAACTGAAGATGAAGTCAACAATGCCATCAATCAAGTAACAACTATTCTACAACAAGCAGCAACTATTTCGACACCCAGAGATGTTAATTGCAAGACTCTCAGCATTCCTTTGGAAATAAAAAAACAAATAGCCATCAAAAGAAGATTGCGTAAAATATGGCAAGTCACTAGGCATCCCGAAGATAAGAAAAGACTTAATAGAGCCTGCGAAAATTTAAAATCAACAATTAATGCTTATAAAAATGAATCTATTAGGACTTACCTAAACAACCTATCTTCAACTCAAGATACGAATTATTCGCTGTGGAAAGCATGCAAACGACTCAAGAAACCAGTTATGGCTGTACCACCGATCAGAAACCCTGATCAGTCATGGGCAAGATCACACAAAGAAAAAGCCGTACTATTTGCTGACTATTTACAAGAAACTTTTAACCCGGCACCTCCTCAATGCAGTCGTAGCGAAGAAGACTTCATAAGTGATTATCTCCACCAGGATATAAGAACTACTAACAGTGTTAACAGAACCACCTTTTCAGAAATTTCCGGTTTAATCAAATCATCCAAATCAGGAAAATCCCCAGGACATGACAAAATAACAATAAGAATGCTAAAAGAAGCACCCAAGAAGTTGATAAGATATTTAGTTATAACCTTCAATGCAATAATTAGACTTCGTTGCTTTCCAGAAGCATGGAAAACTGCTAAAATAATTTTAATTCCTAAACCTGGTAAAGACCATCATTTAGTTTTATCATATAGACCAATAAGTCTACTTTCATGTGTATCAAAAATCTTTGAGAAACTTATTTTAAAACGAATAAACTCTGAAATACATAACAAAAACTTAATACCTAACTATCAATTTGGCTTCCGACAACAGCATTCAACAATCCAACAAATCCACAGAGTAGTTAATACAGTCAATGAAGCTCTTCACTCAAAAAATTATTGCTCTGCAGTTTTTCTAGACCTTACGAAAGCTTTTGATAAAGTGTGGCATAAAGGACTGACTCTTATACAAACTTAAAAAATGTCTGCCCTATAACTTATATATCTTACTTAACTCTTATTTACAAAACAGAAAATTTTACGTCTACATAAATGGTGTTCAGTCAGAAGTGAGAAATATTAGAGCCGGAGTTCCTCAAGGAAGTGTTCTGGGACCAACATTATTTCTTCTATACACAGCCGATTTTCCTGTTAATTGTAATACCAATATAGCCATGTTTGCAGATGACACGTGCGTTATCGCTCAGCATCAGAATCCCGAAATGGCATCATTACTTCTTCAAGTTCACCTGGACAAAATGGAACAATGGTTTAAGCTGTGGAGAATCGAAGTCAACAATTCCAAGTCGGTACATGTTACATTTACCCTTCGCAAAGACACATGTCCTCCAGTTAGAATCTTCAACCACACAATTCCTGCTAAAGAGACAGTCAAATACCTGGGGATGATTCTAGACAAGAAATTAAACTGGAAAGAGCACATAGCCGCTAAACGGGCACACATGGAACACATAAGAAGAACCTTACACTGGTTGTTGGGTAGGCAATCAGAACTATCAGCCTACAACAAGATTTTGTTGTACAAAACCATCATAAAACCAGTTTGGACATACGGAGTTCAACTATGGGGATCCGCCAAAAAAAGTAACATTCAAATCATACAAAGGTTCCAGAACAAACTCTTAAGACAAGCAGTGGGAGCTCCCAGATATGTCCCCAACTGGATGATACATCAAGACACTTGCACAGCCACAGTCACAGAAGAAATTAAAAACTATTCAATGAGACACAAACAAAATATTGACAATCACAGCAACGAACTTGCAGCCAAATTATACGACACAACTTTCGATTACAGACTGAAGAGAACAAAACTTATTCAGTTAGCACAATAAGGTTTTTAAGTTATCGTTTAAAAATAATGTAGACCTACTCCTATGTTTAAACTAGATTAGTTTAGATTAGAAGATTATTATTATTATTATTATTATTATTTTTTTTTTTTTTTTTTTTGTTTCGTTTTGTTTTATCTAATATGTATAGTTTAATTTGTTTAGTTTTTAAGACTACCTGGATCAAATCTACCTTAGTTTAACAACAATAATATTAGGACCACCACTGGGCGGCCTGATATGCCCTTTCTATTTATATTAATCATAAAAATTACTAGATGTCATATTTATAGACAGTTGTAATTACTTAATGAAATAAAAAAAAAAAAAAAAAAAAAAAAAACTTTACCAATTATATAAATATTTTGATGCAAAATTAATCTTGAATAAATATTTTGTTATGGATTTAATTGAAGGTTAAGTGTTTCATAAATATTTTTAAGTGTCTTAATATTTGAGTTCTCAAATGCTATCACAGATGGCGCCAGAATATATGATAATAATGAATATACGAAACTTTTAATTGAATTGCAGACTATCTAAATGTTGATATTAAGAACCAAAGTTTTTAGAGCATTTTTTTATATTAATTTGGAAGCGTTTGAGACCTTATGAGCAAAGAAATTCGAAAATGTCCATATTAAGGACCACCCACATATATATATATACATATATATATATATATATATATATATATATATATATATATACATATATATATATATATATACAATTATATATGATCCAATTGCTTTCGTAAGACAACCGATTATATCACAAAGAAAATACGATACGTTATAGAAATTGCGCAAAACACTTTTTTCATTTCTTCCGCAATTAAATTATAAACCTCATTCGATAATAATTAATAGCGACATGCTTTCTTTTCTTTTCATAAATTTCAACACCCATACAAAAAAAAAACAAAATGTAACTATTTTCAAAGCCTAAGAAATTATCTTTATAAAATTTTCAAAATTATCATTATGAAAGTATTTATGTCTACTAGTTCGAAAATGTAGTGTTACCCGATTACACGAATGGGACTTGATATGTAATTGGGCAACACTTGATTAAGTTGATTATTGATACGTATCGGGAAATTAAATAATAGAAATTATAATTATTTTAGTATTGCTAAAAATGCAGTAGCATTAGTAAACACGAAAATGCAGAACAATTTGTAATATTTATTTTATAAGAACTAATTACTATCTCTAAAATTATTTAAAAAAATTGACATAAAATAAAATTAATATTCTTACATAATAATAATGCAACTTGCCTTGTGGCAAAATGTTATTTACAACTAGTTTCTTTATAGTGAAAACTGCACCATCTTCAATTTCGTTATTATAACATTCTTCCTTGCTTGTTTATATGTAAAATACGCCTGATCGCACGGCAAATAACCAAACATTTTCACAAGTTGCCATGACAACGCAATGTTATGAGACAGAATTTCCCATTAGTCAACACTTTTTAATGATCATATTTGATTTTTGTACTTTTGCTTAACCGATTTTGATAAATCAAAAATATTTTATTCTCATTATTAACCGGTTTAATAAAATTGTGTGTGAAAATAGTGAAATGCACTTTGTAGTAAAATAAACACTATATGTATTTTATTTCCTTTGGCTATTAAATATTCAAGTATGTCACAAGATATTTAGTAAAATAAATATCGTGCCATATTTCCTATTACCGTCAACTACATAAATTTTATATCTTTACTTAACACTTTCAACGACATTTATACTTGATCTATTTAATATAATGT